CGCACCACAGCTCATGAAAAACGCTGGCACGAGGAGAGCTGATAAAATAAACACGTTTTGCGGCGTTTCCTGCGGCGGACGCAAAGCGTTGTGCTGTTACTGCAGGACGGACCCGCTGCAGGCAGGCTGAGCCCGCGGTGCTGCTCGCTGCAGGGCTTCCCTGAGAGGGCATCGCTTCCCTGCAAGTGGGCAGTAAGCAGGACTTAGAATCAGGACCCAGGGTCACCGAGGGTGTCCTGTACTTGTTGAGGTGTGGACCAAGGCTGGAGCCGTGCTCGGTCACTGACACACAACAGCCACAGTGTGGGGGGTCTGCCCCCTGTCACACAACAGCCACAGTGTGGGGTGTCTGCCCACTGTCACTGACACACAACAGCCACAGTGTGGTGTCTCCCAGCTCCAGCCTCCCTTGCTCCATCCCTGAGCCCTCCACAGGCACCTGCTCAGAAAGAGGTGGCACAGGGAGAACACAAGGCCCACCTGGGCTCCTCAGGCCTGTGCTGTCCTCGGGGTTTACCCCAAAACAATGACAAACACATGGAACCTGTCTGGATTTATTTATTTTGTTAAAAGGCTTGGCTGTTCAACTGCAGGGAGAACGGACCAGTACCAGTTTCTCCAGTAATACCCTGGGCACACCAGAGACAGAACACAACACCCACCAAGGCCTCTCTGTCAGCACCAACGGCTTCAGCATCCCCCTAGAGAGAACGAAGGAAAGGTAAACACAAGGGCCAGCCCCACGCCAGGACCTGGAGAAAAGTCTGTAACAAGCAGATACACTGGTGTCCTCATCAGTATGGAAGGAGCCACTGCACCTTCAGCTGAAAAGAGAGCATTCCCTCCTGCTCCCTTCTGTGCCCAGCTGACCATGTGCACGCTGCCACACAGGTCTGCTTCAGCTGGAGGATGGGAAGAGAGCTACTGCAGGGTTAAATTCAGTGACACTTCCTCTGTTATGAGACCTTCTGTAACTCTTGGTCATTGATTTGGTAACCCAAAAAAGCAATCTGTTAAAACTTAGTTAAAAAAACAAAAAACAAAGCAAACTGAAAATGCTGTGAACATGCCTGCTTCCCCCTGCAGACAGCCTGTAACACTTTCATGCATCAGAGGTCAACCTGGTCACAGAAAAATAATCTGAAGTTGTCAAGACTAGCCAACCTGTGAGACAGGCAACTTGTTTTCTGAATGTCAGGTCAATGAAAAGCAAAGGGGCAGCTGCTGCAGGCCAAGGCTCAGCTTCTCCCCCGCGGGCTGGCAGAAGGTGTATAAACCACAGTGCTGAGATAAGTTGTACCACGGGACAGTGCTGAAAGACAAATACCTGCCTCTGTCCTCTACCTCGTCGTTTGAGCTGCAGCTCAGACTCATCAGTCCTCATCTGAGCTATCCTCTGATTTCTCATCAGCGGCCACTTTCCAGTTCTTCCTCTTGTTCTTCTTCTCTGGTACTTCGCTGTGCCGCTCCGACACAGAACTGTCACGTTTCTTTCTCTTTTTTGGGGGCCTTTTCTCTTTTTTTTCCTCAGACTCACTGTCCTCCGAGCTGCTGGTGGTTGAGCTGCTTGCATGAGAAAAGTCACTTTCCTGCCCAGAAGAGGAGGTAGGTTCCCTGGCAGGCACTTTCCTGGTCTTTTTCTTGCGCCGGTGTTTGCCCCTGCGGGTGCCGGGCGTCTCCTCCCCGGAGCTCTCCCGGGAGGACTCAGAGGATGTTCTCCCCTGCTCCTTTTTCTTTTTCTTCCGCTTTTTGTGCGATCGCTTTTTTTGCTTCTTCTTGTGGGATTTCTTTGTCCTTCTCCGTTTGTGTGACTCACGGGCACTTGGCTTGCCTGGCTGAGATTTTTTTTTCCCATTGACGGCATTTTGTTCATCTCCTTCTTGCTGGTCGCTGTGAAAAGAACAAAGGGTGACCCAAAGGAAGCAGACAGGCAGGAGAACAGCAACTGAGCCTTTTCTATCTCAGAGCTCTACACAAGCCCACCAATGAATTTGGCTGGAGCAGGGAATCAGATGCTTAAGACAGAATGTGGCAGCTGCAATTTTGTTTCAAGTACTCCCTAACAGCCTGGGTCCACATCTGTTTAAAGACATTTGAGCCAGACCCAAGGAGAATGTGTACTGAAAGCCACCGAGTGATGAAAACCCATTCATAGCAGGTTACTCCAAACCTGTAAGCCTAACATATATTGTATGTGGTGATTGTTACATGTAGTTTAAAAATAATTAATTCTGTCTAAGATCTTATTTTACAGTTCAGTCTCCACTCTCTAGACTACTGCAAGAATTCATATTCTCTAAATAATGAGAAACACAGAGAACACAGGTACACTGTAACTGAAAGGAGAACCTGGAGCTGATATCTGAGAGGGTGTATGCTGAGCTAGTTTGGATTCAGCCTACTGCTCTGGCTCTCTGTGGGCCCAGACAGAGCTTCCAGGTTTGTAGCATTTTAGTAACTCAAGCTAAAACTGAATGTCTCATTGCTATAAAAGATGCAGCCCTCACATAAGACTCAGACAAGGGCAAACTACATTAATGGACTAGATTTTTTCAGTGGATGTCTGTACCCAGTGCTGGTTTACACTCAAGGCTGATCTATATTCAAAGCTTAAAACTCTGTTTGTAAAATTCCACGTAGAACCTGCCAGAAATCAGATCCTGGCTACATTAGTAAGCTTGCTTGCCTTACCTATCTGTATCAAATTCTTCAGGGTACAACTCTTTATAGCCACTGTGACCCCATCTGTAAGGAAACAGAACCATCTGTTAGAAAGAGACAAAGTATTTAAGGAAAAAATAGAATTCTGAAAAGCCAGAGCCACAGAATGAACAAGACTTCAGACAGCAAAGGAGAAGGGCTGCCAGAACCTTCCCAACAAAGGATGAAGGAAATATGACTATTTTGGTTGGTACTATTTAAATACACCTTACACTCTTAGTATCTTGCATTTTTGTTCAGGGAAAGCTACAACTCAAGTTTCTTTAAAATAACCCAGGAGAAAACTAAATTGCATTTCTCAAGATGTTTTAAGTTCTCTGGGCAAAGCAGTAAATACTCAGCTTTTAGTTGCTAAGCTTAGGGCTGAGTTTTTGCTGCTCAGTGTGACTTTGGAACTCTACAGATGAGCTCAATTTAGGTATTCTGTGACTGCAAAAGTCTGTGCACATCGATTCATTCTCAGAATGAGACCAGGCATTATATTGTAGGAGAACATACTGAAAAGAGAAATGGACTAACTTTGCAGAGAATTCCAAAAAGGTGTTTTAATTACAGTTATAATCACAGAACATGAATTCCTCCACAGACCTGTCGGGCATGTTGGCTTCACATTCATACAGCTTTTTATTCCAGGATCTGGCCCGAAGGAGATCATCTTCCACTAGGTCCAGAAACTGAGAGTTCTTTGTTCTCCAGTCAGCCCTGTGGCCTTCCTCATCAAAGCCATCACTGCGCATCCGACTGCTGCAGAAAGAGAACAGTCACCCCTCAGCTCTCAGCTCTGATGGGGAACCTTCTGAGCAAGGGGTTAGTCCAGTGAGAGAAGCAAAAATCCAGCAAGTCTAGGATGCCCATCCATGCAAGAAGACCAGCTATGATTTTAACACAGTCCCCATTAACAGCTCTCACAAGAACAGGGCAGCAGCTAACACTGGATTTTTGAACTTACTGCACAGCAGAATTCTTGACAGAGGTGCTCACAATGCAAACGTAGAGCAGGGGGTTATCCTGCCCCTCACAACACAGTTCTCTTCCTCTGGAATGCTGCACAGTGAGACACAGGCTACTAACAGCAGCAAAGGGGAAACTAAGTAGAACTGACTTGCTAGAGCTGCAGTTTGATCGGGTCTAAGACCCCAAATCCACAGGAAGCACCAACAGTTTTAAGTGATCTCCTATGCCCATGGGTCTAGTTTTGTTTTCTCACTTGAAATGCCACTTCCTGAGCCAACCAGCAGCCACGGAGTGAGCTTAGGTCTGAAAGTTCTCCCCTGACACTAAAACCACTTCCTGCAACATTCACACTTCTGAAAAGTCTTTGTGGTATTAAGGTCCCCTTCTGCCCCAAACCCCAACCCTCCACCCAGGCTCAGCTTGTCTTCATGTCGTTTGTGAGATCCCCAGACCTGTCAGAACCATCAACAGACACCACAGGAGCAGTGGGCAGTACTGGTGAGATCCAACAGTGCAGGACCTCACACATAACAGCTTTGTTTGCTGCTAACCTAAATGGTTACACATGAGACTTCTCTCACAACATTCTGGTGTGTTACTTAAGCACCCCCATTGCCTGGTAGAGCCCAGCCCACTTGGTGTTGTATTTTGAAGACTATACATCTAGATGAAGAGATCAAAGTCCCTCTTTCCAGGCACTTGTTAAGGAGAAAATAAACATACCTGTAGTCTACGTAGCCTGCCTATATTTTAAACATATAGACAGCACAGAATGCTCTTGAAGTATTACAGCAGCAAAGGTTCAGCAACTAAGTCAAGACAAATATCTCCTCCACACAACTAAAACCCACCTGGAGGTGTCTGACAGCATTCTGCTTTGCCTTTTCCAGTAAGTCTCTTCTGTTTGCTTCTCCCACTCCCTTATTTTCCACATTTCTGTTTCTTCCTGAATCTGAAAGTCACAGAAAGGAAACCAATGTAACTTAGGGAAACTTTACAGACAGGTAGCACGTAGCAGCAGCTCCCAGCTCTACAGTCCTGCTAACAAAACTCACAGCCAGCTTTCCTACCAGCCTTGTTATTTCTGCCTATAATGACAGTAACCAGGAGAAGAACATCATGATGATAATGCCCTAACAAAACACACAAGGGTAGCAGCAGCAGAAACAGTGGGTTTGCCTGATTTTGCTGTCCCAGCTGTCCTGGCTACCCTTCCTTGTCATTTATTCCCCTCCCAGACACACACTAGAGGCTGGAAGAACACAGCATGCAAATACTGAGGGGTTTGGCACAGATTTCTTTTTATGAACAATGAATGTAATTTTATAAGCTTAGGAAATAAATGAGCTGGACCTGCTGAATGATGTCTGGAATTAATTAACTAGCTTGCTAAATTTATCAGAGTTTCTTAGTCTTGCACTGAAGTCCTGCCTGTGCACATTAACAGAAAGTTCAAATTCTTTGATGCCATTGAAAGTACACACACAGGACAACTAGAAGACAAACAAACACAAACAACTAAAAGTTTGCTCCTTTTAAAAAGGCAAACCGTGATTCTCATGAAAGTCCCGAGAGAATACCGGTTTTCACGGGGTAACTTCCACGGGTAAACACACACACACACACACAC